AATGATTGTCCTTCTGCTCCTGTCTTTCCTGTGCTGTCTGCCCACCCCCCCCGCCACCACTGCCTAGTTCACAGGGCATCCAGAGGCAATCTTCAGTCCTGTCCACATCTGATAATCAGCCTGAGCTCCTTAGATGTTGGGTCTGAGGAAAAGAAGAACCACTGATTGACTGTAAGTGATTAACTGGCAAGCTGGGGAGGACTTTGGTCAATATGATACATTCTAGGTGAGTCTGGTCCTTTCAGACTGCATGAGCACAACAAGCTGGTATGTGGCCACCCTCAAGAGTCCTGGAAAACGAAAGAAACGACTGCAAGCTCAAGACCCCATGTTCCATCAGGAATGCCCTGTGCATTGTGGAAATTTGAGAAGGTACCTCGGCAGACAGCGGCAGGTGCTGTTAGCGAGTCGGAAGATATGATATGGGAATTTAAGGGGTTCAGATAGAGAAGAATCTATTGATTTGTTTTCTGGACATATTCCTTTTGTTATGATAAATAAAACATATACACTGTCAATATGCTGACATACAGATATTCATTAATCACCTACTCACTGATCCTCCACTCAGACTGAGCAATTTGACATTGGTTGGGAGGGAGATAAACATAAAATGCACTACCTGCCTTCTAACCACCTGTAGTTTCATACCTACAAAAAACTTCAGTTCAAAGCAGTATATGATAAGTGCCCACTGAAACCCAGAGATTTTTTACAATGCTATCCATGTCAGAAGGGGAAATTAACTTTTAGTTTGGGTTATCATAAACAGCTTCAGAGAAACAAGTGTGACTCGGCAAGGAAGTGATATGGCTGGGTGTCTTGAAAAGGTGTCTGGAAAATTATAGTTGCCGATGCTGATATGTCAATACAGCATCAAAGTATTTAGCGTACAGCTAAGTAACTGAGAAACTGGAATCAATTGGGACATTTGTATATAAATTCATTCTTACAAAATAAAGCGAATTCATTAAATACAGCCTCAATTTTAAGATAATTAATAGTAATTTAATTTCTTTCTACTTAATTTTAACTACTCTATACATACAGCAATTATTATTTTGAGATTGTGCATAATAGAATTTAGGTTTATAATCTAACGTATATTTGATGAAGGATAATTACTAATCTTATTGGATAACCAAATCTCACTTTTTGTAGATACTGTTTGTAGATACTGTTCATAAATATTTGTACAAAATTTCTGTGTTGTCAATGTGTAGATACTGTTCATAAATATTTGTACAAAATTTCTGTGTAGATACTGTTCATAAATATTTGTACAAAATTTCTGTGTTGTCAATGTGATAAATGTCAACTACCTTTCACTTAAGGTCAATTTGCAAAACATCTGATTGAATTTAAAGGCAAGTAAGCCTACCTAGTAGTTGGTCGTATTTTCAATAGCTGAGTATAGCTTTGTCATTATGTAAGTATACATGCACTTATAAGCTAACATACGTACACAGACACATGATACAATAAATCAACCCCTTCTTTTTAACCTTTGAAAATACGTACCTTTTTTAAAGGAATCATAAATATCAAAAAGCATTTTTATATAAATATGAAAGAATAATTTCTTATTGGTGTAATCATAATTCTGTTATTTAGCGGTGTCATTTTTGTCTAATTGTGACTGCCTAATTAAATGAATGTAACATGCAGGAAGCACTTATAGCTAAAACGTACATGCAGGAAAATATACATTCTACAGCATGCATCCTCTGAAATGACATTATAATTTTTTGAGATGAGCACTGAAAACCTGAACTACTGATAGTACACTATTAAGGTTTATAAACAGGCATTGAGAAAAATCAGGTATTAATAAAACAATTTAAGCAGAAAGAAACACATCACTATCTTGCCTTTCAGAGATATACTGATCATATTTGGACTTATATACTCCCAACTTAGCCGCTGAATCCTTCCACAGCCATGTGGACCTCCAGATCTTGCCAATAATAAGGAAAATCTCTCTGGCAGGTTATATTTTTAAAAAGTCATCTCTTGGGATACACTCTTAGATATTCATGTTTACCTATTCTCTGCTTAAAGATGCTCAGAAATTTTTATATATTAGATGTAGGAGATTTCAACATCAAAATGTTTTCAAAGTGTTGGAGATCCAGCCTGCCTTTGGTGTAGTCCTAATAGACATCCTTACCAGAGACTTACAGATAATTCTCCTGGGAGTCTATAGCCTGAGTGTTAACTGAGTGAAGCACAACCTCCTGCGTAGGCCTTGGTGGTAATGGGCTAAAAGCTAGTTACATTTTTTATACCATATTTTAAAAATTTTAACACCATCTTCCTATTCAACCTCTTTCTTCAGAAAACAAGAGACTAATGGAAAATCCCCAAGAGACATTATAACATACAAATAGTATGACCATAACTAGCATGTCTAACTGAAATAGGCAAACTCTACCATTACGTACCACTGAAATGTTTATCATACTCATCCTAACAAAGCATGGAGACCGCTTCCTATCACGATGACAGGTAAGGAATTTGAGGTGCCTCACAAATCATAGGTATCGTGATATGAACCTGAAACTGTTCTAGAGGTCATGAAAGACCTCGATGAGGCTGTAGCAGGGGTAAGTCTCTGCAGAGAACTTGGGATATACGAGCATGAGCGTGAGTTAAGAATCTGAATCGTCCAGAGTAGCAAACAAAATTCCAAAGCTAAGTACCAATGTAATATGTTGGATGACTACACCAGCTTGGACAAGAGTGCACACAACAGGCACACACAATACACATCTGGTTCAATGTAAAATCAACTATTGCTAAAGCATTTTCGACTTTTAGGAGGAATCTCCTGGCAATGTGTTAACGGGAAGGACGACTAAAACAATAAAATAGCATTTCTTTCCAAATATTTAAGGACATCGAGTAAGTGCCCCTTAGGCTGGCTTGTGGTTCTTGGAAGTTTTAGCCTATGAGAACCATATTGGGGACATCAAAGACTCCTCCTTCTTTCCAAAGAGCAATTTACTTCAGATGCTGCCACACACTCAAATGCTTTTATGGCCACCATGTTTTTTTGTTTGTTTTTTGTTTTTTCCACTTTTAATATTTTGGAATACGCCAGATCCTTGAAACTGGAAGGAAGACAAGAAAACACAGTAAGATCGAAAACCTTTGAAAGAGCAGTTAAGTAGGTACCTGATGGCAAAGGGCAAATACACATTCCAGCTGAAATTCCACTTCCGGGGAGACTGTGAGTTATCAGTAAGGACATGGAAGGCACACATTGGCTCTGAAAGCTCGTCCGTTGACTCCTCTGCTAGTCTCATATCAAACAGGATGCAACCACCCCCATTCCATTCCTTCGACAACTTCCCAGAGCACACTCAATCAGAGTCTCTTATATTGAGGACAATACTATATTTGGGTTTAATACTGTGAGGACAGTCATCTAGTTTTCCTATGTCAGGATGATAAATTTCCCTGGAACCAAATAAGGATTCTCACTGCATTCTTCTATCCGATACCCTGAATGCAGAAGAATAAAGAAGAGGGTGTGACAAATAATTTTTTCCAAAGGTCGGGTAAGGGGAGGTTCCCTCACATTTAAAAGCAACCAGTTCTTAGCAAAGCGATCTTTAGAAGAACAGTATTAACAATATTCCTTTGCTATGCATCTACTTTTCTTTCCTGCTTAGCTGGGGATGTAAGTATTCTGAGCAGAATGTAAATGTCCAGAATAGAGATGCGTGAAGTTGGTAGAGAGAAACTCCAAATGAACGATGAGTCCCACTTTCATTTCCCCCTCTTACCACCCCAAAAGCTACCTCCCTGCCCTCACACACTCACCTACCTTCCTCCTCCCACAAGCATGTTTGCTAGGCATGTCAAGGCTGACATCCATCGGTGGCAGCATGAAGCCTATGCCTGCAGGATCCTCCTGAGAACGGACTCAAGGCTCTGCCATTGTCTATAGAGTGCTCTCAGCTGTGCACATGAAAATCTTCGTCATTCTGTTGGATTGTTTGGTAGCGTTTTAAAAAAAATTGTATTTTTTTTTAAACACCCTTTATTTCCTGACTGCCTCAGAGACACCAAGAATAGAATCCTTGACACATCAAATTCTGGAACCTCACCACTCACCAGGACTGTGGTTCCTGATCCAAGGAGTGTCGACTGAGAATCAGCACAGTCTCTTGAGAGTGTCCAGGCCTGGCTGCTAAGCTCCCTGCTCTGATTAGTTTGTCGAGTTCACAGTGTTCCAGAGTGCTGAAGCACAGAAATTAGGGAGGGGAGGTGGAAGGAAAATCACTGGAGCCTCTTACGATCTAACTTCCACTAACTGAGAGGAAATGTCTTATAAATAAACAACAGCAAGAGAAACAAAAAAACCCCATCCCGTCCTGCCAGAGGAATGTACATTATTGTCTCCCGACGGAAAACTTTACACCACACCAGAATGCAGCCATGTCTCCTGAAACTACCTCCCTCAAAACAGAAAGAAAAAGAGAATCAAGAAAGAAAAAAAAAAAAAAAAAGAAAGAAAGAAGAAAGAAAGAAAGAAACTTAGCCTAATTCTGGGATGTACCCTACTGTTCCCCTGACCCTATGCTCTCACTCTCTCAAGTAAATAAGTAAAAAAAAAAAAAAAAAAAAAAACACCAAAAATGATTTTTTCATCCCCTTGAATTCTGTTGGGAAGTTCATGTGAGTTCCCAGTAGACAAACTAAACGAAGCAGTTTCAACAGTGTCACTGTTCCAGGATTTCTTGCAGAGCCTGCTTATTAGCAAAATTTCATTTCTGCCCAGATCATTGCTGTGCCATCCGGACATTTTCAGAAGGGAAGTTCAGGGAAGCGGGGGAGGGTACGACTGTGGAGCAGAGGAAGAAGAGAGGACAAAGGAACACTCCTGATGAACCGGAATGCCCTGGCCACGGCCATGAGAAAGCCGGCCCCCACCCACCGCCCGACCACTGCTTGTTGAGCACTTGGTGATGCAGTGTGTGTAATCTACTTACTCTTTCTGCTCGGGAGGCTGAGGTTCCTACATTTCCAGCTCATGCTGGACTGTACCGTAAGCAACAAGTGAAATGAGTTCAGTGATCTCATTCTAGTCCTTCGACTCCTGTCCACATCGCTAAGCGACTGCACAGCTTGGCACAGGCCAGGATGAGTCAGCAGTCTCTGGTCATGAGAGGCCAGGCCTGGAATAGCAGGGGGGGGGTTAGGTCAGGAGCAAAATGAAGCAGAAAGGCAGTCTAGATGGCAGGGCTCAGCTCTGCAATACACGGAGATACTGCAGGTCAAAATGAAAGGGCCTCATCGGCTCGGGGGTGAAGACTGTAGGATTGCAGAAAAAGGAGCAGCTAGGGAAAAACTTCCAACAGCTGCCTACCAAACATAACAAGAACAAATCGGAGTACCAGGGGCAGGAAAAAAGGGCACTGCCAGAGCCCTGGAGGAGAAGAGAGGTTTGTTAAGATTTCTGGAATACTTTTTTTTTTTTCCATGTGCTCCTGCACTTGATTTAAGAAACAGTGGTTACCTATATACTGTCCTGGCATTTTGGTATTGCTATCCCAATTTAGTAAGTAGCAAAATAAACAAATAAAAGCAAAGCCCTGCCGTTAAATAACAAGAAACCTCCTACTCCATAAAAGAATGTAATTATAGATAAAAGACTGATATCTCAAAGACGTACATTTGAGTCCATGGTGTCTTTGTATAACCTGTAAAATACTGGTCATACAGAATGGCTAAAGAGAAGTACTCCTTAAGTCGAGCTTGGGTGGGGGTAGAGAAGAGCTGAGAGAAAAGAGAGGGCCAAGCTCAGTGACAAAACGCAAAGGACATATGACATGGTGTCCATACTTCTACTCAATGGGGTCAGCATAGATGTCCATCAGAAACAGACTTCCCACCAACAGGACTTTCCAACATCTCTCCCAGTGTTGCCGTACTACAGCAAGAGGAGAGGGAAAATAAAATATCAGAGGGAAAAGCAAGGTTCAACATAAAAAAAATCAGTCAGTAATAGACATTTTGTTTGGGAGGAGGCAAGTTGCCTTATGAGCCAACGGATAAGGAAAAAATCTTAGTATCTGAAACAACCTTAGAGGAACCATATCTGGATAAGGAGATTGAGGTGGAGACCGAGAATTATCAGTAAATAATAGTGATGACCTCATAATAAGGAAGAAAGGAATCTCCAAGTCAGATGGTGTGCAGCAAGAATGGCATGGAAAGAGAATAAGATCTGCAGAGCTGGGCAACACTAGTAAAAGATTTCTTTAAAGTTCTTTGACAAGGAATAATAAGGACCCACCCTACATTCCTAATTGTTATCTCTTAGAGATGCATACATATGTAAGATGTGTAAGAAAATGGAGAGTAAATTTTATTTAGTTTTCACTCCGGAGTGTACTAAATTATTTCAACACATCTTTCTTAAACAAATGCTCAGCCTTGGGCAGATGAACTTTCTAGCCTCGATTTTCTTGTCTTTGAAATGGAATATTATCACCCTTGTTGAATTACTTATAAGGACTGAATCAGTGTTTGTCAGTCCTTATCATAGCAATGTCTGTCACATGGTGAGCACTCAATAAACTGCTATTGTTTTTATTTGATTATCATATTTTCATAAGTGCCCACTGAAAGAGTCATTTCCAGTGTTGTTCCACTGGATTGAATGGAACCCATATGAAGGCTCCATCCAGTAAAATGAGTTGGGTAACACTCCTCAGAGAACGCTGCTTTAAAAAGCTCATTTCTGTCTGGGTGTGTTAAACATTATTCTTGAACACAGAGCATGCTGAGAATCTATTATGTTAAATTCCCAATTTGGGGTATCTATATTGTCAAACCAGCTTGAAGCTTAACAGTGTCCAGTAACTAGGAGCCTAAAAAAGAAAAGAGGGATTTTTAGAAGGTTCTCCAAAAGCAACAGGATAAAAGTGCTATTGGCCTTGACCGCATGATGAGGGTTTTTTACCAAAGGGGAAACTTAGTCCAGTTGATCATCCCAGCCTAATTGATTAATTGTGGGTCTGACCATCTGGCTGATGAATGCTGACACCCAGCAGTGATTACTGTGTAACACAAATCCGGATGTGCCCTCCCTGATGCCTCCCACAATAATGGCAACTCTGAACTTAAGGTTAGTTTATTCAGGCCTCTTGGCTCAACCTCTTCATGGAACAGTGGTTGTGGCAGGGAATATTTTACTAGACCTGGTCAAGCATTATCTTCTCTTATTTCAGTTACCCCCTCCTTCCCAACTCCACGCCTACCCACTCCTGAGCCCTCTCTTGTCTATAATCACTTTTCATGCAAAGCATTCCATCTGTAGTTTTCATCATACTGTCTGATTCTCTCATTTCCGGTTGCTCTATTCTGAAAAATATTTGGTTTGAAAGACCTGTACTGCTATTTCACAGGGAATCCTATTGAGACGTTTTTTATTGTATCTTCTTTGCTACTCTTTTGCTTTAAATTAATCTGTGCTTCCAAATTCTAGATCTATATTTCACCTAACTCATAAGCCTGATTAAAAGGCCCATATATTGCCCAAGTTCTCCATGAGGTTAATAGAATACGAGGGTTAATAGAAGATAATTCTTATATCTTGAACCTACATCTGATCTTCAGTTAGGAGTGTCCTACGGAGAAGACTCTGGAACATATTTCACTGCTAGAGAAGGAAAGTTAGGCTCCTGTAAATCACAGGGATCAATAGCAATGCCACCAATCCATACCTGGAGATAACCTGCATGCAGGAGAGTTTGCCCAGCAAATCAAATCTAGATGCATAGATATAAACCCTGGGGGACTACAACTGAAGGTTTTATTATTTTTCGTGGGAAGGCACGGGGGAGTAAACGGACGCAAACTGTCTTGCACAAGCTTGGCCAATGAGTCACAACCAAGCAGGATCATCCATTTCCCCTCTCTTTTTCCCAGACTGATTTCCATCTCAAAATTCATCATGTTTCTTGTTCCCCACAGATGCTGAATTCTTCTCTGTTCCAGGCTGGGTTAGTGTTAATTTTCGGTAGAGGATGGCAATAGCACGCTGAACTGCAGAGTTCCAGACTGGGAACTGGGAAATGTTTTTGGCCTGACTGTCAGTAAACAACTATGTGTCTAGGGCAAGTCAAGTCCCTTAACTCCCCATGTCTCAGTCTCTTCATTGAAAAATGATAGGGTAGGACCACATGAACTCCATAATCTCTGCCAACACTAAGATTCTATGGTCCTATAGCTCATTTCCTTTTTCTCGCTGGCATCAACTGCTCAACCACTCTGCTTATAGTCCTTTGTCTGCTCTCAGTTACTGATGGAAAAATAGCTCCTTCATTTACTACCCGGTATTTGGTATTTGTAACCCCCCCCCTCTTTTTTGATGCTAGCTATTTGGAGTCAGAAACACGAACCTAACCAGATAGATGCTTTAAATGTGAAGGCGTTTAAGGAGAATAGCTTTCCCATGTAGAGCATTCAGTGTAGCTCGGCATGGAGGAAGCCAGCCATCCAAAAGTGGAGCAAAGGGGCCAATTCACAAACAAGAGGAAGCCTTTCATAATAAGAGTCCCCAGACCCTTCAGTTTCGATAACACTAAATGCTACCAAGTTCCAGCTACTCTTCTAATCAATCTCAGTGATGCAGTTCTTATTCTACCTCCACCACGTATTGCCAAGTAGGATTTAGGATGGCATAGTAATAAGAGCCAAGAGGACAATCTGTCATTTATTTTCCTCCAAACTTTTGGAAATTTCCCATTTGGGCTCTGTTTCCCAGTTTTAATTTGGTAACTGTCATTTTTCAGTATTTCTTTTAACAGGTTACTAATAATTTCTGATACAGGATCTCATATTTCATTTCGTGCTGCTGGAACTGCTGTTAATATTTCATCTGCCTTCACTTCGGCTCGGAATGAAGGCTGCTAGGTTTTGGATACATGGTTAACACTTTGGTTCTGGAGACTGGGTCACCAGTGTCTGTCCAGTTTTGTCCATATCTTGTTGGGGACAAGATTGCCTGTCTCAGAAACAGCTCAGGGCAGGGTGTGGTGGACCTTCTAGGGATACTTCAGAGTTGTTGTTGTTTTCCTGGATATTTATGAAAACAACAAAAACAAGGTTTTGTGTTTATTCTCCCAGGTAACTTGCTATCGGCTTCAGTGGTAGTGTTCTAGAAGCAGAGGGCAGTGGTTAAGAACCAGGGTACACAGGAAAATCTAGGTTCAAATTCTGCCTCTGAAACTTACACACATAGCATGTTAGGCCAGTTCCTTAACTTATCCAAGCCTTTGTTTTCCCACTGGTAAAACGGGGGTAATAACAGTATCCACCTTTATTGCTATGGGGATTCAACAAATTAATGTAAAGTGCTAAGGACTTTCTGAGTCCTCAGTAAGTGATGGTTATTATTATTATCCTAGCATTAATAATCTACCAATTTACATCATAGTGTTATTTTGCAACATCTTTTCAAGGTCAATGAATTACTTTTGAGTCTAGACCTTTGTGGTTTGCTTTATTACAGTTCACATATAAGAAATTCTCAGTGAAATCAAGTAAAATATTTTTAAAATGGTCCTTAAAACAGTATGTAGTTAAAAATAGTACATAACATATTATATCATCTTTCAATCTAGCATCAGATTCTCAAAAGTTTGTTTTAAGATTTTATTTATTTATTAGACAGAGAGAGAGAGAGATCTCACAGGCAGGGGGAGTGGCAGAGGGAGAGGGAGAAGCAGGCTCCCCACAGAGCAGGGAGCCCGATGCAGGGCTCAATCCCAGGACCCTGGGGCCAACTCAGCCACCCAGGCACCCTCTCAAAAGTTTTTGTTCATCTAATAGCCGGGCCTAGATAAGGTGCCTTGTACTAATGCTAATCCATTCCATAAAGAGATGGCTTATCGTATTTACTTTTCCATACTCGTAAAGAATACAGATTATTCTAATATTCTTTGGGTATGTATTAGTCAGGGTCCATTAGGAGAGAGAAACCACACAGCAATTTGAACAGGAAAAGTTTAATATAAAGAATTATTAACTATAACAGCGGATTGCAGTAATGAGGGAGTAGCTAGTAAGAAGTAAAGAGAATTCTAAATTATATAAGAATAGCAAATATTACTTGGAGGGCTGAGATACAATGCCCAAGGAAGAGTTCCCTCCAGCCCTGGAGTGGGAT